ACTGCAGTCCAGCCTTTCAGACAATTTTCCTTTAATACAAAGTCAATATATCTACATACACCGTGGTATGAAAACCACTTACTGTTTCAGTTTGAAATAACAGTGTGAAAGCAACAGCACTTTGCTCTCATACAAAGAAAAAAACCTCCCCCCTCCCCCCGACTCGTCCAGTAAGATTTTGCTGCAACATACTTAGAAATTTGGGCAACTTTTACACAAATAAGAAGTAAAACCTTGAAGAAGCCTTTAGTTCGTTTCTCTTTTTTTTTTTTTTCTTTTCATTTTTTTCAGTTAAAGACAGGAAATAGTGTTTTTCTGGGGTTTTCCGGGTAGCACTCGATGGCCATGATTACCCCTTCTATGTCCCCGTTTAAAAAAAAAAAAAAAAAAAAAAAAAAAGAGGAAAGCTCACAGGCAAGCAGTGTTGAGGGCAGTGCGTCTCTTCCCAGGCTTGCTGTCCTCGGTGCACTTCTGCCCGAAACCGCCTCGTCACGGACGCTTGCGAGAGCATCGTACCGCCCGCCCCGCGCACGGACAGACCTACAGCACCCCTTCGGCGGTAAAACCCCGCCTGGGCGCTGACGTGTGCCGGGGCTCTGACATCGCCGTCTGCCTGTCTTCCATCACGGTAAGACACTGGTGTTGTTTCATCTCCCAGTTCAGCCCTGGCCCTGCCCAGACTGGAGGGAGTGGGTGCTGCTGCCCCGGCCGGGCTCACCCCGCATCTCCCACCCCTCCAGAGACGCGTGATCTGTCTGCGATTGAAAACAAAAGAACCGCCCCCCCCCCAAAAAAAATCCAGAAAGGACGTTTTTGTTCTTACATGAGCAAGTTAAACCTTTTAAATGGTAGAAAAGCAATATGTAGAAGTAGCAATTTGCACTGCATTTATATATCACAGCCATTACACGTAACATTTCTACAGTGAAAAAATAGACTGTCTTTGAACATAATATGAACAAATAAGCAAATTTTTCTTTTAAATTCATTGACTGATATTCTTTGTCTTTTTTTTAAAAAAAAAAAAAAAAGGAAAAAATACAATTTTTAAAAAAAAAAAA